ATATATATCAATATATATACCAAAGCCAAAGCTACATGGCATTAAAATAGAACTCTTGAACAAGACCCATGTCAGCAAGACCATGCAAACTAGAGAATTGCACAAAACAATTCTTTTCATATTTACATGAAAGTTTGCACGACTGCAGTTTACATGGGGTCAGTAAGATTTTTTTAATGTTTTTGAATGAAGTCTCTTATACTCGTCAAAGTTGCATTTATTTAATCAAAAATACAGTAAGAATAGTAATATTGTTAAATATTATTACAATTTAGAATAGCCTAACTTTTTTCAATTTAAATATAATATAAAAAAAAATAATAAATGTTCTGTGTTGGCAAAGTTGAATTTTCAGTAGCTAATACTCTAGTCTACAGGGTCAAGTGATCCTTCAGAAATCATTTTAATATGCTTCTAATATTTGTTGCTTAAGAAATATTTCTTAATATTATCAATGTTGAAAACAGTTGTGCTTAATATTTTTGTGGAACCCTTGATACTTTTTAAGGATTCTTTGATGGACAAAGTTCAAAAGAACAGCATTTATTGAAATATAAATATTTTGTGACATAAATGTCCTTACTATCAATTTAATGCACCCTTGCTGAATATAAGTATTAATTTCTTTACTTAAAGCTGCAGTATGTAACTTTTTTTGGTTAAAAATGATCCGAAATCAATATTTGAGCAAGCCAGTGTTCAAAACTATCACCTTACTTTTTTAATGTTTTCTAATTTGAGTGGTACGGGTAGGTTTTTGCGGGAAATTCGAGCATGGCACTGCGTCATTACGTCACGTCTGTAAACATAAAGAAGTTGTCCCGGCTACTAGGCTATCGCATATGAGGATCCTGCAGGTGGACGATCGTTTATAGCTTTTTCTCACAGCAGCTGGAATAATTAAATGTATCATTTTGATGGCGGATTGTAATCCAGAAAGGATTATGTGTTTATGAAACACATGTGAATGAAATGAAATTATATTCCAGTTATAAATGTGCTTCTGATTACAGATAGCCTGGGATTACACAAGATGTGTATTTTAAAGAAAACCAGTTCGAAGGGAGCATAATTTGCCTTTTGGGTTAAAAGATTTTCTTAATATGAAATTCGAATGGTATGACAATTAGATTAGACCAGGGGTGCCCAAACTCGGTCCTGGAGGGCCGTTTTTGACTGGTAGTATAGACTGATTTTTCTTATAGATTGAAACAAATGTGCTTCAGCCAGGATAAAGAATATGAAAAGTGCTCTGAGTTGCTGCAGAAAAAAAAGAGCAACAACAAAAACATGTTGCTGGAGACGGGCTTATTGAAAATTGAAAAACTGATTGTCTGCCAGCAGGAGGTGCATTGAGAGCGGTAGAACTTGCGGTTTCTCCGGTAATGGCTGTAATCAAAGCAGCACAGCTCATAACTGCTACTTTATCAGATCAAATGAAAATGTCATCGAAACTTTTCTGAAGACAGTCGGTTCCCTTCAGAGATACATTCATATAAAACACCCGCGCCGTGTTATGATTTTGAAACGTGCAGTGCTCATGTTTATTCAACGAAGTCAAACGCCACAAATAAATCAATGTATGGGAAACACTGGTAATGTATATCGAAATATCGGAAATGTGTTTAAAAATCATATCACCGTTATTGAAAAGGCTTATATCGCGATACATATTGATATTGAATTATTGTCCAGCCCTATGTTAACATTAACAATTTGAGAATAAAGTATAACAATAATAATAATATGCACAGTTTTATGTGATATGAGCTCATTTAGATTAAATCACCATTGGTAGTGCGATTTATTGTATTGCTTTTTTCCTCAGTTGGTCAGAACAAACGTGGCAGACTTGTTACTTACTTGTTCAGATGGCAATATCTGGTGAAAATGCTTATTTGAGTCATATATTCCAAGACGTAGGCTAGAATCTGTGAGTGCAAAGTACAATATCCACACCGGTGCGGTGACTGACAGCCACACATGCTCCTCAAAACATTAGATTCATCCGCGCTGGAGCCGTCCCGGAGCACAAACCACGCAAGGAAGATAATTCCGCACACAGCTGCAATTGCAGGTTTTCAAACAGAGATGGCGACAAAGAGGCAAAACTTACGGACTGCAGCTTTAAAAAGAAATAAATAAATCTTACTAACCCCAAACTTTTGAACACTGAACAGTAGTGTATATTAACTTGTTATGTATTGCAACTAACTAGGAGAAAATATGGATAAAAAAGGTTAAATACTGATGCACACCAAATACTATCCAAAAGAACTGGCATCAAAAGCTATCAAATATATCTGGATTTCCCTGTAAACGAGTATAAGTAAAAGCCCACAATCCGCAAATACACATGTATTCCTCTAATGTACAGATTTCATACAGCTTCAGCAGTGCTAGACCTGCCCTACAGATCAGTCCACCCCTTGTTAGGCTGCAGTGACTCAGCTGTCAGTTGCACCACAGAAGCAATCCATCAACACCTAGCAATAACACTACATCACAGCCAGCCTTACATACAGATACATCACCACAGGAAGGAGATTAAAAAGCCTCACAGACACACAGACTCTGCTGTCACCACCATTAGTCACCATGACGCAAACGCTGCACTTTTATTAAAGAGCAGTGTCACACCACACTGCAGAACACATTTACGACAATAACTCAAAAAGACTGGCAATATTAAATTCACAAGACCTTTCATAAAGCACACGCAAAACAAATAGCGAACCAAAAGACGCATTTTTGCTTTTACAAAAGTACTGATTGGTTGTAATCATGGGTAATCCGCATATGTAGAGCTCCTCTTTTGCTATGGGCCTGCATAGCTGACTATGAGGGGGATTTGTGTCCAAAAAATGTGTACTATTCCATCTGACGAGTTCAAGATGGGCCAATTGTTCCTTTAAATGTTGCAGAGGAATCTTTAAATATGAGTGTGTAATAGAAACTAAATGTTTCTAGGATTCCCCTTCACATTCACCCGGCTAATGTGGAATAAAGCTCAGGCGGGTGAGGTTTGCTGAAAAAGGTACGAGAAGCACAGCGGCATGAGATGCTGGACTACTGAACTCACCTCCAAATAACTCCAGATCCCTCAGGCTTTCCGCACTGAGTTTCTCTGACACCCAGCGCTGAGAGAAAGTGAGAAAATATGGTGATTTAATGCACATGCAAACAAAATCAGTCACTTTGACAACCAATCAAGTTCACTCACCAAAAAAGACATGGATCCTGGAGATGGTGATGACAGGTAGCAATACTTTCACAAAGAGTTCAAATCTGCAAAGGAAAAAAAATCAGATTCATGAAATTAGAAGTAGAAAACAACTTTTTTTTTCTGCCCTGATACTTTATGAATTCTTCTATACCACAGTTTTTAGCAGTACCTCAGAACAGTGCTCGGATTCAAATGAGATTGTCTTTATAACACGTATGTAAATAAAATAACACCTTGGGTTTGCTCATTTAGTGTGCAGCATGCAATATGTGCATTTACCAATACAACACAGCTATTTTTAATAAGCAGAGTTATTAATGTATAAACAAATGTGGCATGCCAGCTTACAGGTCGGTATCTTTTAGTTAGTTAGCCATGCAGCGACATGATTATCTCTCAATTATGATAAACAGAGCACGGAGCTTCAGTGTGCTTGTGTAAGTAATACAATATAAATGTTGAACTCACCCTCTGCTGATAAATTTTATGGGTCTTACTCTTACTTTTCTATACCGTCAAATTTCCAGCTATCATCAAAACTGCAGGATGTAACTATGGATGTAACGCATTTCTTCTTCTCGTCTCGCAGTGGGCTGGGTCGTTTGGTGAATGGACGAGTGCCGTTGACGACGCGGCGTCCTCGTGTTCCTATTGGACCAAAGGTTGGATGCGTGTCTCCTCATTGGTCTAAACTCGTGAGCGAATAAAACAGTCTGCGTTCTAGTGTTGCCATATCTTCTTAGTTCTTACTACTGTCGCTTATAAACATGAGCCGTTGCAGGTTGCAGTAAGAATGTCAAACACATACCACCATCTGCCATGGTCAAAACAAAGACGGATTTATTATTACATCTGTCGATATTTATTCTTCTTATTACTAGTATTAGTATTATTAGTATTATTTGCTATAATTAAAAGATTATTTTACTATACTATAATTTTTTTTTTTTGCAACAGTGTAGTTAAGCTTTTTAATCAATGCCTTCTGTATGTTTTCTATGCAGATCAACGAGTTCCTGACTTCTGAGAAATGATTCTATTATTTCAAGGATTATATAAATCAAGGAAAGGATTAATTCAAAACTAAAACAAAACACGATAGTCTTTGTACCATTCTTTATATTGACCGTATAATTTACTGAAATAAGAAATATATATATATATATATATAATTATTATTATTATTATTTAACTGAAAAGGATGGGAACAGGCAACACTGCATTTACGTTCGTCACCAAACGCGTCGCGCAAATTTGACCAAACACAAAACGAGTCCATTGTAAATGACGTAAAACCCAATCTCCGAGAAGTGTGCTGTGCAAGATAGCCTGAAGTGGTAAATACGTTGTGGATAAATAAGGTGTGCACCCACTTTAGAAGATCGCTCTTTTCACGTTATCAGAAACAGGTAAATAAACAAAATGTAAATAAATCCAGGTTTTAGGCTTCGACGCATGCAATGTGAAAGTAATCGAAGCATAATCCGTATACACATAACATTAGCTCAAGGCCTCTCCACGGCCATCAGCGCAGCATTACGAGACAGCGTCTCCTACTTGCTGTTTGGCCCCCAAATATTGAGATATTACGAGAAATTTTTAAAAAGCGAACCAATGAAATGAATTAGCTATGGCAAAAGACAGTAAAGCTGCTGAGAAATACCTATAAGCAGTGCGCGAGCAATAAGACTGTAATTGTTATGCTTCAGTAAATTAGCCTGATAGGGATTATTTACATTACATTATACACTCTGGATTTAACTAGCATTTAACTAACGGTTTTTAACCCCTAATCTGACGCTGTGCAGCCCAACAGCAATGAACTGGAACAAGGGAGGCCCGAGTGGCAAGCGAGGCTTTGGATTCGGGGGATTCTCTCTTGCGAGTGGGAAGAAAGAGGAACCTCGTCCTCCCCAGAAGGCCCACTCTGCATTTGGAGCTTCAGGACCATCAGGTGGATATGGCACGAATCAGCAGCTTTCGTCTTTTTACAAAATAGGAACAAAACGAGCCAATTTCGACGAGGAGAATGCGTAAGTACTTAAATTGTGACCACTTCTACAATGAAAACATTGCTAATGGGATAGTTCACGCCAAAATGAAAACGCGTGAAATCAGTTCAATCTAAAAAGAACATATCTCATTATTTACTCACCCTCATGTTGTTCATAACCTGTTTGACTCCCTGTTTTATGTGGAACACAAAAGTAGATGTGTTTCGGTCACTTTTATTGCTTTTGTTCAGACAATGAAAGCAAAAGGTGCCAAAGAAGACTGTCATTATAACTAATATCTCTGTTTAAGGTTGAGTAAATGAGTTTTAGGTGAATGAAAGAGGCTTTTGCAGTTATTGCTTGAAACGTTTTTTTTTCCATAGTTATTTTGAGGATGATGAAGAGGAGTCTAGCAGTACAGATCTGCCGTATATACCCGCCGAGAACTCTCCCACTAGAAAGCAGTTCCAGTCTGGAGGAGGAGGAGGAGGAGGAGGCTCCGACAGTGAGGATGACCCTCTTGATGCTTTTATGGCTGAGGTGGAGGTGAGAGCTCCTGAAGTGATCTCTTTGAGAAGAGGCAGTGGACAGTGCTGCTGTTTTGCTTTAATTCTTGTTTTTGACTTCTTTCAGGACCAAGCAGAAAAAGACATGAGGAAACTTGAAGAAAAGGAAAAAGAGAAAAAGTTAGCCAAGTAAGATTCTGATATTATCACAGAATTTTTCTAAGACCGTTCATCCAATAATATTTATAGCAGAATGGATGGGAATGGAAGGGGGTTTATGGGTAGAATATGGATTTCCATGGGTGATTGAGCGAGTCGCAGGGAAGTTTTTTTTTTCTCCGCTTGTTTCTTCCAGGGGTATACGGGATGACATTGAAGAGGAGGATGACCAAGTGAGTGACCCCCTTGAAGTTACTACAGCCACTGTATCTTTGCCACAGCAATGACTGTGCCTAACTCCTCTTTCTATTTTTCTTTCTTATATTCTCTATATATCTACATCAGTTTACAGACTGAGCCATTCAAATGTACTTTTGGTGATGGAGTAGGTGTTGTTTTTAAGGTTTTATATGCAGTCTTCAGACTTGTTTTCTTAACCAGTTCATTGATTCTCAGTTATTATCTATTGTCTTTAAATGTTTCCAGGAAGAGTGATTCTTTTGTGACTGAAACGTGAGATTTGAGTCAGTGCTAAGTTAAAATAGCAGTGAACAATTAAAATGAATTTTAATGTCATTGACACCACCTCAGTGCTCAGTAAGTTGTTGGTTTCAGAACTTAATATTTAGTAATTAGTTATTCTAAATCATTTCTTTAACATCATTTTTTTTAACATGCTATGTTTCATTAGACAAATTAATTTCGATGCAGTCTATGGCAACATTTAGATTACTTTTTTGATATTCAGCAGTAAAGACCTGCTGCTGTTTGTTTTGATCTAAATCATTTTTTGCATTATTTGCAGGAAGCATATTTTCGTTACATGGCGGAAAACCCAACAGCTGGGCTGACCCAAGAGGAAGATGAGGAAGAAGTGGACTATGACAGCGATGGAAACCCCATTGCTCCTACGACCAAAAAGATTATCATGCCACTGCCCCCAATAGACCACTCAGACAGTGATTGTTGCATTAATGTCCTGCTGCAGGGATGGCATCTTTTTGTAGGCCTGCTCAGAAGTTTTTATAATAAAAAGCTAATAGTATTTTTTTCATGGTCTTTTGGATTAAACTAGTTTGCAATAATGTGACTATAAAACAGTAAGGCTATTAAAAGCACACTTGAGTTTTCCTGTGATGCTGTAAAATGTTCCCAACAGCTTCTGTAGTCCTATTTAGCCACTTTTGAGCAACCACCTCTTTCAAGACATTGAAAAAGCTTAAAAATCAACAGTGGTGTTTTACTTTTGTATTTTATGTTTTAGAATAAAAGAAAGGTGAAAATATCTCGAGCTTGTGTTAACAACAAACCTTATTTTAGACATTTGATCCATTTAAACAAACATATTGATGTCAGAATAAAGGAACCAGAGGTTTCCCAACTTCTGCTAACTTGTTTCCATGTTTTAGGACTCATTCCTGCAGCTCTATTGATGAGCAAGTACATTGTAGATTATTAGATTGCTCATATCAAGAAGACCCTTGTATATACATTAAAACAAAAGTATATGTAAGCAAGTGCAAATCTTGAGTGGTATGTTTTTATTTCTCTTCTGTCTGTAGATTGACTATCCTCCCTTTGAGAAGAACTTCTATATTGAGCATGAGGAACTCAGCAGTCTGACTGAGGCCGGAGTGGTGGAACTGAGAAAGAAACTCAATCTGAAGGTCAGTGGCAGCACATACACAAATGATCGTTCTCTTTCTTTCAGCCCACATTAACCCATATTAAAAATGAACAGGTTTCAGGTGCAGCTCCTCCTAAACCAGCCACCAGTTTTGCCCATTTTGGATTTGACGAGCAGCTCATGCACCAGATCCGTAAATCTGAGTACACTCAACCCACACCCATCCAGTGCCAGGTGAGCTGCCAAACCCTCCCACAAAAGAACCTTTGTTTGTTTAGGTACTGGTTTATTTTTCTACAGTAATGTGTGTTGTTTCACTAGGGTGTTCCGATAGCTTTGGGTGGCAGAGACATGATTGGCATTGCCAAAACTGGCAGTGGAAAGACTGCTGCTTTCATTTGGCCAATGCTGGTGCACATCATGGACCAGAAGGAGCTGGAGCAGGGAGAGGGACCCATTGCTGTGATCGTCTGCCCCACCAGAGAGCTCTGTCAACAGGTTTAGAGAGAAGGACAAACATACTCTTTCATACTAGGGAAAGGTGTAAAAGATGGAAGGAGATGAAAAATAATTGCTGGGCAAAAGGATTAAATGTTTTTCTTATGTAGTCTTGGTCTTGAATGAAGTTTTTGTAGTGTGTTTTGGGTTTTAGTCACTTAAAAGTGCTTGTCTGTGTGGTTCAGATCCATTCTGAATGCAAGCGCTTCGGGAAGGTGTATGGCCTCCGCTCGGTGGCAGTATATGGAGGCGGCAGCATGTGGGAACAAGCCAAAGCTCTACAGGAAGGAGTCGAAATTGTTGTCTGCACCCCAGTAAGAACATCCTATCTTTTGATACACAACCCAGTTTGACATCTTTCTGTTTACTTGTGAGGGGGTTCCTTCCTTGGTTGTTCTGTTAAAAGCTCTTCTCACATAGGGTCGCCTGATCGATCATGTGAAGAAGAAGGCTACATCTCTGCAGCGAGTGACCTACCTGGTGTTTGATGAAGCTGATCGCATGTTCGATATGGGCTTTGGTATGTGTAAAATGTCACTTTTTTTTGTTTAATCCCACTAATTCGTGTCCTGTTAAAACGCTCAGTCAGTGCATTTCCCAACTGAGATTTCATTACCAAAGTATTGAATTAAAGAATTAGTGAAATATTCTGTCATTTACTCACCCTCGTATTTTATCAAACCCACAAGACTTTCATTCATTGTTTCATTTGGAACAATGAGGGTGGGTAAATACAGAATTTGACTGATTTTTTTTAAGGTGAACTATTCCTTTATGAAACATGAGTACAGTTGTGATGCATTTCATTTAAACTTGATCTGTATTATACAGAATACCAAGTGAGATCCATTGCCAGCCATATCAGACCTGATCGACAGAGTAAGTATCCCTCATATATATATTAATGTGCTGCTT